AAATTATTATTTAAAATGGAATCATTTTACCCAATTTTTCATCCGTATTTGTTATTTTTAGTTTGAGCATGTCATTTAGGTTCAACCGCTGAGCATATTCGAGTGGGTTCCCTGTGTTGTAATGCTAAAGAGCTGTGCTGTTGTTGTTTTGTCAGTGCTTATGTTTATTTTCTTGCGTTTTATTCCTAAATTCTCCACGGTCCCGGCGTCTTTTAGACTCTTCTCCAGTTCAAGGGTTATTATGAAGTACTTAAATCAAACAGAGGCTCAAAATATCGACCAAGAGTTGTTCAACGAATATGCCTTCAGTGTAGATCAGTTGATGGAGTTGGCAGGTCTATCAGTAGCCGTTGCATTAGCAAAGAGCTATCCTTCAAAAGATAGCGAAAATAACAAAGTATTGGTTGCAAGTGGACCGGGGAACAATGGTGGTGATGGTTTAGTTGCAGCGAGACATCTGAAAATGTTTGTAAGTTTAATGCATTGATTGATTGATTGAATAAATAAATATAATCAATACTATCGAACATTCATTCATTCCCATTTGATAATTCATCTATTTTCCCAGTCATTTGTCAGTTTATATCAGACTGGTACCTAGTTGCTTCTCGCAGCAACAACTGTTGGGTACAAGTCTGCACATTTACATACATTTATCCCACCATTTTCAATTTTTCCATCCATTCTTTCATTCACACATTTTTTCACTTGTTCATTTATTACCCCTTTTTATATCTATTAATTAATAACTTCATTAGGTGTATAGCTTACCATTCTTTTTTTATTCCTTATATATTTATATCTCATTTCCCATTTTAGGGTTTTCAGCCATTCATTTTCTATCCAAAAAGACCCAACAAGCCATTGATGAATAATCTAGTAACACAATGCCAAAATATGGACATTCCTTTTCTTGACACTCTGCCGTCATCGCATGACATCACAAACAACTACAAACTAGTTGTTGATGCTATTTTTGGGTTTAGTTTTAAAGGAAGTGTCCGTGCACCATTTGATGATGTCCTGAAAACATTTAAAGATATTGAAATTCCTCTTTGTTCAGTGGATGTTCCATCAGGTATATCTTTTTGTTTTTTTTCTCTCTCTCTCTCTCACACACACACTCCCTCTTTTTTCCCCTCTCTCTCTTGTGCTGTCTTATTCATTTTAATTAAGATGAATGCAGTTAATACAGATCGTGTAACTTTAAGTAAAATTTTACAGTTATCTCAAGCCTTCCTTAACTTTCCTAGGTTGGGATGTTGAACAGGGCAATCCAGACGGCCTACAGCCAGACTTCCTTATATCTTTAACTGCACCAAAGCTATGTGCCAAGCATTTCAAAGGACGTTACCACTGGCTTGGTGGGCGATTCATACCAAAAGCACTTTATGAAAAGTACGATTTACACCTTCCTGAATATCCTGGTACAGATCCTTGTGTGCTTATTGAAGAATAGCTATATGGTGGAATTTCTTGTAAACTATAATTTAGTGCTAAAAAAAAATGACTGCCAACCGCGAACAAAGGGAACCTTGAAGTCAGAACAATAAAAGACTCTGTACAGTTCGGCGAAAATAAAGTTGTTGTAATTAAGAAACATTTTTGCAGCAGTTATTTGCCTTCATTGAAAATTGTCTCTAACTTTTTCGGTTATTTTGCAAGCTTTTTTAGACTTTTTAATATGCATAAACTTCGATTCGTGATATTGTAGAGAATGAGTGAATTTCAGGCCAAAGCTCTCGAAAAATCATAACGCTTCTACTTTGAGTACTATATGAAAATGAATGGTCCCAACTCATTTGATTGAAAAAAAAACCGCATGTAACACGTGTAACTACGCGGCATTTTCAGTTTCGGCGCTTTTTTTTTTTTTTTTGAAAACTGCGCTACTAGACTCGAACAATTTGTATTCTACTGGAACAACAACAACTACCTATCTTTAAAGGAATTTGCGTTAACTTTCCGAGCGAACCTCGATTTTTTCTCATTCATTTATTCTTATCCATTCGCTCTTTCAATCATCCRTTCTAGTATGTTATTATTATTATTATTCTTTAGCTCTGTCTCTTTCTTTACCTATTTATCTATTTCATTTTACGCTTTGAATTAAAATTTCTAAACAATGTGTTGAGTTCGGTGCACTTTCCAATCAATTGTTTTTACGTTGTAACGCCGACGGGCTATGAATAGATGTGACGATTACGTGTCCCTTGTCGTCTCAGCTCTTCGTCACTGTATCAACTGCATTCAACTGGAGTGCCCTCCTTTCCGACCTCCTACTAAACAAAGATAACAGAGTTAATAATTAGTAAACCTCTGTCAACTAGTCAGAATTTTTGACCATTTTTGGCTTCAAAAGTTTGCCAATTTGTGGGCTTCCTGTGTTTGATCACGTGACCTTATTGTATATGTATATCACTAAATGAGTATTGGAAATCTTGCAACGATAAAATGAAATAAAACTGGAAAATGGCGGGCAACAAAGTAGGGACAACTTTAAAAATTGCCAATTTTAGATAGATATATGAATAATATTTCTTTATTTTTTTTGCAGGTTCGAGTTTTGTATGATTTCGACGGCGATATCAACTCGGGAGAGTTGATAGTCTCAACCGATGAAATTTTGACTGTGACACGAACGGTACGTTCTTTTCTCTATTTCAGCGTCTTCCTGACTTTTATAATGACATATTGTTGTGATACAGGATGTAGGAGATGGATGGTGGGAAGGAATGAATCATAACGGCATGAGAGGGCTGTTTCCTGAAGCATATGTCGAGGTGAGAAAATCTCATATTCAAACATAAGGCTAAAGTTTAGTCTTTGCTGTACTACAGTACGCACGATTTTCCTGAAGTTATRCTCAAAAATATTAATATTAAATATCTAAAGCAGGGCATGTTTTTCTTTAATAAAGGTGAAAATTTGGGATTAGCGTTGATATAAACGTTTGGTTATCGTAAACTAAGTTAAATTGAGTTAAAAACTTAAAATATAAGCTTAAAATTAAAATTCGATTCAAACTCATAAACAGAATTGCCCCAAAATCTTGTAACATAAAGTATTTCCATTTCGCTAAAAAATCTCATAATTTAAGTTTACGAAATGTATTGACTTTGTCATTTTGAAGTTTATTGCTGCACAATATTTGGATGATGAATTTTTAATAAACTTTCTGAATGCTCTATTTTGGTCCAGTTTTAATGATGAAAACATACTCATAATTTGTCATAATGAATGAATAAGAAACCTTACTCGGGCTCACTTTTATTAATGAAAAGAAAATAGACTTATAAACTTTATTTGCTGAACTTATTTGCATTTGGAGACCCACTTTGAGCTATAAACAATATCCGGTTTATGCCATCGGAAATGTATCGGAAACAATCGATTTTATTTCGTATCAATCGATAGTTTTTCGATAGGGTGCAAGCCCTATGCTGTGGGACACTGGTGAAAAACGCACTGCGCATGTCCACAGCTTTCCCGCCGAAATCTGCCTAATTTCCTTTGTAAAGTGATTTTTGTGAAAGTTTTTTTACAATTTATAAGCTCATTCACCGATATATAAGATTC